TTCTTTATACGAATATTTTATACAATATAATGCGGCCTATGATTGTAGAACGACATTTGAAAATATCCCGCATGTGTTTCTTTTGAACGAATTGCCTAGTGGATATAGCATCTGCCCGGTAAGTGGAACACTGTGGGTTCGATTCCCATCCCTGGACACTTTTATTTTCCCGTTTATCATTACTCTTCACAATTCATCCTTTCATACTTCATCCCTAAGGTTAGAAATAATCGCTATTTCTCCTTAAAATAAATTTCGATTTTTCGTTCAATAGAAACACATGCGGGATATTTTCAAATGTCATTCTACAAATATTTTTGTTCATTTACGAATGTAACATCTTTGTGTTTGACGATGTTAATCAAGCAAGAAGTAATTGGTAAGTTTTAAAAGAAAAGTATTTATTTATATAGCCGAGAGAATAGAGTTTTACGGGATACACACACACACACACACACACACAAGCCTTTTTATTGGGGCATCCAGCCCTATACATGATTCCCCTCTACAGGATTTAGCAAAGGAAGATATTTCGAAAGTAAAAACTAGAATACAGGAAGTAATAAGGAAAAAGAAAAGCGAGAAGAAAGAAAAAAACAAACAAACAAAAATAAATATAACCATATATACAAAAAATAAACATACAGAGCAAAAGGAACCATACATTATTAAAAATTTAAATTAAAGTACCAATGTTTAAAATATGTCAAGGTTAGGATATCATTGAGAGGGCTAGTGTTGAATCAGCCGCATTCAATCTTCGTTTTCTTCCTCCAAGCAAACCACGACATTCGGCGCTTCCATTGTTCTCCAACGGACATTGACTGCGGCCTTGTAGAATTTATATAAACCGAGGGAGAGACCCTGATCAACCATCAGTGTGTTCATCCAGCTGCAAATTTGTTGGCAGTCAGGTTGAGACCAGGGTAAGTCACCCAAAATTTCTTTCCTCTGTTTCTCTAAGCAAGAGCATCCAAATATTATATGCATAATTTCGTCTTGGATTCTGTTTTTACACAGATCGCAAGTTAGAGTCAAATCAATTTTCCAGCGATTTGAACGATTTTCTGGGAAGATCGTCCAAAGGAGTCTCAGTTGTGCAAAAAATCTTTTAATTGCTAGAGGAATAGTTGTGAATAAATATCGTTCTGCTGTTATTGAATTTTTTAGATATTTGAAGTGACTGTAATGTGAAGTATTTAGGATTTTCGCCATGTCGTTTTGGATGCTTTGTTCGGTTGCTATTCGAATAACACCAGGGATTTCAGTCATTATTGCAGCGTAATCCGGACAACTATTCAGGAACGAAAAACCGTTTGAGTCTAAAATGGTTGACAGGTTTTCGACAAAGGTTAAACCAGCCCTTTGATTGCTGTGTAATGTCCAGAGGTGTGACAAACATGCCCGGGGCAACCTACTCTCTTCCATTTTCATAATCCTCACCCAAAATCTCAGGACCTGTTTAATAATGATAACTTCCTGTGATACTCGTCCACACTCCATTCTTAGCATAAAGCCCGGAGTATACTTTGGTAAATTTAGGTAGCGTCTTAAGAAAATATTCTGAAACTGATCAACTACCTTTACTTGGTTGAGTGCCCAGCAGGGTGCGGCGTATAGCATGTGAGGTAAGACCGTCGAATCAAGTAATCTCATTGCCGCATTTAGAGAGTTCATCTTGGATTTTGTCAGAACTTGCCACACAACGCCAATTGCTGCCAGGGCTTTGCCCTTGTAGTGTGACGCTACCTTGTTTAGTGAATTTGCACTTGTAAGCGGATATCCCAAGTATAGATATTTCGTAGTAACAGACAGTTGCCTCTCACCCCAGAACCATTTGTCATTTTGTGCTAATCGACCGCCGTTTCTGAAAACTACAATTTTTGACTTATTTTCATTCAGGGTTAATAAATTTGTTTCAAAATATTTTCTTAGCATATTGATTTGTTTTACGGGATACTAACCAAAATGTATGATTTTTGAGCCCAGAAAAAAAAAAGGTAATAGCCTACAGCACCCAGTTGTTCGTAGGAAGTCACTCTCCCAAGTACTGACCTGGCCCGACATTGCTTAACTTCAGTGATCGGATGAGAACCGGTGTTTTCAATGTGGTATGGCTATAAGAAAAAAAAAAGAAGGTTCCACCAAGAAAATTACATAGCCGACATATTTATACATGGTTATACAAGGGTCACTACTCCAAATGTTTTTGAAATCGCTTATTTTTATTAAAGATGCAACTTTCAAATTTCCAGAGTTTCTCAAAGTATTCACCCTTAGCACCTATACAAGTTTTCATCCGTGAAAACCAATTATCGAAGCACCTAAACCAGTCATCTTTGTTGGGAATCTCTCATGGTTCAGACAATGAAACAACAAATAACAAATTTACTTACAGCTGAAGTGGTTTTAAAGAATTAGGCAATTTTACCTTTTAAGAAAGTATTTTGAATATATTATTTTCAAAGAGAGAGAGAGAAAAGAACATTTAACAATTTACATTACAATTACTAATTTTGTAAACAAAACCAACACTCCTTTGTTCTCGTTTTTATATTACAGTGTTGTCAGTCTAAAGGTATTTCAAGATCATTGATTTAATATTCTTTTTTTTTTTCAACATTCCCTCTTAAATCAGTGATCTTATCACATTCAACAGTTTCTTCACTTGACTTATGTTTTAAATGGTTGTCATAAGAAGGGATTTGAATTTGCCAAACTTTGGTCTGGCTAGAGGTTTTGTTAGGATGTCTGCAATTTGGTGTTCTGTTGGGCAATATATCAGGTTAAACTTTTGAGCTTGATCTTCCACAAAATGATATTTGACATCAATATGTTTAGTTTTAGTGGTGAATTGGCCTATTTTATAATTTTTATAGTGCTTTGGTTATCAACATAGAGATTTATATCAAAATTATCTGGAATTAATTCTTCTAATAGGGATCTTATGTATGACACTTCTTTGCATGCATCTGCTGCAGCAATGAACTCTACTTCAGTGCTGGAAAGGGCAATTACAGGTTGCTTTCTGGAGCACCAACTTATAGGACCTCCACATAAGTAAACTACATATCCTGTGGTACTTTTTCTAGTTTTAATATCTCCAGCAAAGTCAGAATCACAATACACATTTTATTCAAATGGCATCTCTCCATCATATGATATGCCTAAATTGGTGGTGTGGTTTAAATATCTTAGGGTTCTTTTGATGTTTATAATATCTTGAGTTGTAGGATCATGCATTGACCTGCTTTCAAAATTTGTGGCAAAGGTCATGTCTGGTCTAGTTTTGTTTGTCAAATATAAAAGGCTTCCAATTGCTTGTCTGTAGGGAAATTTGATATCATTTGATATTTCTAAGTTTTTGTCTAATTATTTTACTACATCTGTAATGGGAGTGGGTACTGGTTTTGAGTTTTGCATATTATATCTTTCAAGAACTGATTTTGCATAATTTTCTTGTGAAAGTAAAATTTTTTTTTTCTCAAAACACAAATTTATTCCCAAAAAAGTTCTTGGATCATTGTTTATTTTAACTTCAAACTCTTGGGATAGTTTTTCTAAAATATTATTTAATTCTTCTTCATTTATTTATTTATGCTTATGAGGTGATACAGCAACGTCTTTACAATTAAAGAGAAGACAAAATGAATCAAATCTAGAAAAAAGAAGTGAGGACATCTCGGTCAATTCTTCTTCATTATCTCCCATTAAGATACCATCATCTACATATATTGCAAGGTACATATTTCCTTTGTTGGTTTTAAAAAGACATGGCTCTGATTTTAGTTGTATGAAATTTTGGGATTTGAGAAAGGTTTTTAATCTTTCATTCCATTTTAATGGGGCTTGCTTTAAACCATACAATGCCTTTCTTAACCTGCATATGTTCCCTTTATAACCTTCTGGCAATTGAACATATATTTTTTTCATCCAAAAACCCATATAGAAAAGCTGTTTTTATGTCAAATGTTTTAAAAAACAAACCTTCTCTTAGCCATTAGAGCAAAGTATATCCTTAAAGAGACAGGGCTTATAACTGGACTGAATGTCTCATCATAATTAATGCCTGCTTCTTGTTCAAAGCCTCTTACAACTAGTCTTGCTTTGTAGCGGCCATCTTCTTTCACTTTAAAGAGCCATTTAGAGGTCAGAATCTTCTTGTTTGATGCTTCATTTTCTTTTACTATTTCCCAAACTTCATTTTTGGCAAGAGACTCTTTTTCTTCTTTTATTGCCTTTTTTCATTTTTCTTGATTCGGACCAGATATAGCTTCCGAGTAAGTTAGAAGAGCTGATTCTGTTGTTCCGTCCCGTTCTAAATAGAAGTCTTCATATCTTGATGGTGTTTGTAAACTACTTCTTGGTCTAAGATTATATTTTGAAGTACTTGGTTTTGTAGGGATATCTTCTTTGTCTTCAGAGACTTCTGGTAGACTTGGTTCTTCATTTAATTCTAGTTGGTCTTCAGATTCTTCTTCTGGTTCGACAATAGGTACTTTTTCTTCTTTATTTATACATCTTTTATCTAAAGAGATTACATCTCTAGCTGTAAAGATTTGTTTGCTTTGTTCATCCCAAAGGCGATAACCATTTGGTGCATAACCTATAAAGGTATATTTTTTACTTCTGTCTTCCAATTTCTTTATGTGTTTTAGGGTTTTGGCATAAGCTTCACAACCAAAAAGTTGTAAGTTTGACAAATTTGGTCTTTTGTTGAACCAAAGTTCTGCAGGGGTTTTCTCTAATTCTTGAGTAGGGCTTGGGTTCAGAAAATAGGCTGAAACCCTTACAGCTTCTCCCCACATGTATTTTTCTACTCCAGAATCAATCAAAAGAGCTCTAGTTTTCTCCATCAGGGTTCTATTTAATCTTTCGGCTTTGCCGTTTAGCTGAGGTGAGTGAGGTATGGTGAGATCCATAATGATTCCTTTAGCTTTGCACCAGGATTTTATATCTTCATTTACATATTCTCCACCATTGTCACATCTTATTTTTGAAACTTTTAGATTCATTTGGTTTTCTGCTTCTGTAATAAATTCTTTTAGATATCCTTTTACTTCATATTTATTTTGTAACAAATACACATGACAAAAATGTGTGTAGTCATCAAGAAATGTTAGAAGATAGTTTTTGTTGTCATGGGTAGTGGGATCTAAAGGTCCACATACATCTGTATGGATTATTTCTAAAGGCCTTTTTGATTTTGTTCTAATGGAATTGAATGGCTTTCTTACCTGTTTAGCTTTAATGCATGTTTCACAAATTTCATCTTGACTTATTTTTTCTATGTTTATTCCATTAACCATAGATTTTAATTGTTTTAAGCTTGAAAAACTTATGTGACCCATTTTTCTGTGCCATTTAAGCATTTCTTCATTTTGGGTAGCTGTTAGGTGAGATTCTTTAATTTCGGGATTTTCTGTTTCTATATTTATTGTATAGAGTCCATTTTCCTGTTTTTCTCCTTCTAAAACTTTTATTCCATTTTTTACGACAAATACCTTTTCATCTTCAAAGACGACTTTGCCTTAATTTTTGGTAATGGCACTTACAGATAGTAAATTATTTGTCAAGTTTGGTACAAAAATCACCTCCTTGAGATCACATTTCTTCCCTTGAATTTTTCCGACTGATTTTGCTATTAGAGTTTCTTCCTTTTTTGCAATTGATATTTTTGAGTTGCAATCTACTTCATCTAGTAAAAACTTTTTACTATTTACCATATGGCTTGTTGAGCCACTGTCTACAATGAATTCTAGCAATTCCTCATTTTTACATTTTAAAGTCTCTCCTTCAAAAAAGGACAATTTTTCTTCATTTTTGTTTCTGAAAAAGCAATCCTTTTCATTATGATTTGTCTTTTTACAAATTCGGCAAGGAATATTTTCCTGGAATTTATTTTGAGAATTCTTAAAGAAGCATTGGTCTTGAGTATGATTTGTCTTTTTACAGATGGTACACCATTTTTTATTTAGTCTACAGTATTTTGCTAAGTGCCCGCTCTTTTTGCAGTTAAAGTACTGCTTTACTTTAGTAGCACTCATGGCTATTCCCTCTTCAGGCTTTACTTTTTGTTTAGTTTCTTCAAGTGATAGTCTTGATATTAAGTTTGTTAACGTTTTCTCACTTTTTGGTGTCGAGTCCCATGCTGTGCTGAAATAATTAAAGTAGTCTGGCAAAATGCTCAATATTTTAGAAATTACAAAGCTTTCCTCTCAATTTCTTGTTTTACATTATTTAGTTTGAATACTAAATTTTGCATTCTGCTTATATTCGTTGCCATTTCTGTATTTTTGTCAAATTTGAATCCATGAAATTCTTGTAGTAATTTGCATTTTAATTGCTCTTCTTCTCTTTGATAAATGGCTACTAGTTTTTCATACATTTCTTTTCAAGTTTTGCAATTTAGAATATGTGTTAAAACATTATTTTCAATGGTTAACATTATGTATTTTTGTGCTTTGGCGTCTTTTAGGCTCCATTTATCTTTTCCAGTTTCATCTTTCAAGTCTTTAAACAACGATTTTCCATTTACAATATCTAGAAGGCCATTTGCTTTGAAAATAATTGTTATCTGAAAATTCCATAGATCAAAATTTTCAGGACTTTTAAGTCTCACAATATTTGCGATATCTTCGCTGACAGCCATTTTTGTTTTTATTTATATTTTATCCTATATTTTAAAAATATTTTACCGCGATTCAAAAAGAACCACGCTCTGCTACCATGTTGGGAATCTCTTATGGTTCAGACAATGAAACAACAAATAACAAGTTTACTTACAGCTGAAGTGGTTTTAAAGAATTAGGCAATTTTACCTTTTAAGAAAGTATTTTGAATTTATTATTTTCAAAGAGAGAGAGAATTTATTAAACAAAACCAACACTCCTTTGTTCTCGTTTTTATATTACAGTGTTGTCAGTCTAAAAGTATTTCAAGATCATTGATTTACTATTCTTTTTTTTTTTCCAACAATCTTCAGGGATGGAAAAATGTTACATTCAAGAGTCACTCCAAAAGTTTTTCAATCATATATTTTCATTAAAGCTGCAACTTTCAAATTTTCAGAATTTCTCAAAGTATTCGCTCTTAGCACCTATGTAAGATTTCATCCATGA